CGCCCTTCGGCGTAACACCCCAGCTTCCCAGGCTCGCGGCGTGGCGGCGGCTAGCTGTATCACACCGAACGACTTGTTACACTTAATCTTGGCACATTTGATTGCAGGTGTTGTTTAAAGCTTTCTAGTGATGATGCCCCAACTGTGCTTGGTGGCAACGAGTTCCAGTTCTGATATTTGAAGGAATGACTGTTTCGTGTTCTTTTCTGGGCTGGTATCAGATACTTAGTGGTTGGGACATCCACCAGTTTATTAGTCATTTTGTACATAATGCACAGTCTGGACATTCTACGTCTGTCTTCCAGCGACCCCCACTGTAGGTTTCTTTTCATTTCCGTTACACTAGCACCGGCCCCTTTGATAGTTGTTCGTGCAGAATCTTGCAGCTTGGTTCTGTACCCTTTCCAGTTATCCGTAGAAAGAAACAGGTAAAGTACTGAGACCCAGCGGGATCCTACACGTACAAAATCTGCCTGTAGATTAGTATGGACGAGAACGGTCGACCTTGTTGGAAGGCGTTGGCGTATGGATGCTAGCCCGAGGACACACACTGATCCCTGATCAGAAACGAGAAGAGAAGTCACTTTGCCAAAGCTGTGTCAGAGGCCAAGGGTGACCAATCTCTCATGTGGAAGATCATTAATACTTTTACAGGGAGATCAAAATCCAAAGGCCGAGTCCAGAAATTGGTGCGAGCTGACAATACCTCCACGTCTGATCCAAACCAAATGACACATGAGTTCAACGAATACTTCTCATCCTGCGCCTCAAGACTTACAGATGGGATGCCAGATTCCCAGGAGGATCCTCTTCAAAACATACCTGATCCCACGACGAAGTTTAGCTTCGAGTGCGTTGAAGAGTCGGTAGTGATGAATGAACTTCAACGGCTAAAAACAAAGAAAGCAACAGGTTTGGACAAAATTCCAGCCAAACTTCTCAAAGACTCCGCCCCCGTGATCGCAAAGCCGTTGACACACATATTTAATTTATCACTCGCCTCTGGAGAGGTTCCTTCTGAATGGAAGGAGGCCCAGATCTCACCTGTACACAAGTCTGGAAACTGTGCTGATGTCGGGAACTATCGTCCTGTGTCAGTTTTGAGTGTTACGTCGAAGGTGATGGAACGGCTTGTATGTAATCAAGTGACGCGTTACCTGACCAGATGTAAACTTCTCACGTCTCACCAAAGCGGGTTTAGGCGACATCATAGCACAGCGACTGCTGTACAGAAGATTGTTGAGGATATCACATCTGGCTTCAACGGCAGTAAGGTCACAGTTGCTCTGTTTCTGGACCTAAGGAAGGCCTTCGATACGGTTAATCATGACATTCTGTTAGGCAAACTCAAGAAGCTTGGCTTTGACAGTGGTGCCATGGATTGGTTCTCATCTTACCTCTCTGAGCGCTTCCAGTGCACTTGCCTGCAGGGTCAATACTCCACAAAAACTCGTGTTTCCTGTGGGGTACCTCAGGGAAGTGTTTTAGGACCCTACTGTTCTGTTTGTATGTAAATGACTTACCAAATGTTATCGAAAAGTGCAGCATTCACATGTATGCTGATGACACAGTCCTGTACTACTCGGCCGACTCCGTGAAGGCCTGTGAAGAGACTGTCTCTATGGACATGAAGAGAGTAGTGAAATGGCTGAATGAAAACAAGTTACTGCTTCACCCAGACAAGACCAAAGCGATGCTCTTTGGGCTCCCTCAGAAACTGAGGCATGCCGGGACATCCGTCAACATAACCGACGGCACGAACGTTTATGAGCAGGTTGACTCGTTCACCTACCTGGGTATCACTCTGGACCCCTCACTCAGGTGGTCAGCACACGTGCAAAGGATCACGAAGAAGCTTCTCAGCGGACTCGGTGCAATGAGACGTGCCAGAGCCTTTGTTACAAAGGAAGTGTTGCAGACCATGTACCAGACACTAGTACTATCTCATCTGGATTACTGCGCCACAGCGTGGCTACCGAGTCTAGTACAG